TAAATTGATCAACGAATGCTTGAATTTAGATTTGTGTAAATATGATTGTTAGAATAATAAAGTGGAATGTTAATAGTTTAATGTGTAATTGTGGAATTAAATTGAAAATTGAAACTATAGGAAAATAACTAAAGCAGGAAAGCAACAAAAGGCCAGTAGTCAGTAACATGCAAGAAGCAAGCAAGAAACCAAAAGGATCCCACCATCCGAACAGTGGTGGTGGCGTCTGGACGGTACTTCCTATGTAAAAATCAGAGGCGTGAAAATTGATTAGTTTCTAATTTCCCTCGCAACAGATTATGAAAACAAGTAGTCTCCTTGCACCTTCTTGCCTTAGATTCGCTTCACCCTATAGTTTTTCTTTGATTCCCATCCGATTCAACACTTACCCATACAATTTTATAGGTTCTTATCGATCAAAAACCGTTGAAATATGAAATCAAGAGAAAAATAAGAAAAAAAAATGGATCCAAGAATGAGAATAAGAGGTTCTTCGAGTCCGGCAAAGAGAGGATCATCTTCGCCCTCAGAAGCGTCCCTGTAGCAACCCCAAGGTTAGAATGTTTACAATACTATGATGTTTGAGAACATCAATCAACAAGTCTGGAATGACAATTACATTCTCAATAAAATCATTATTTATGAAATGCATGTTGTTTACAAAGATTTTGAGAATATTGAGGTAAGACAGAATCTTGCTACCCGTGGTTGGTCAAATTATGTTAAGTTTATTGCTCCTGCATATGAATGTCTAGTCCATGATTTTTATAGTAATGCAAAAGAAACCAAGCCTAGGGACTTCTGAGTTTATGTTAGGGGGGAGTGGCTTTGCAAGTTACACGGGTCACTATTGCGAATTTTTTCCATCCCATCCCATGACATCCAAACCCACAATATCCTTATACTGAAGTGCCTAATATGATTGAAATAGGTACAAAACTGACAAGGAATCTAGACTATGTATGGGGAAGACTAAATAATACATCGAGCCAGGGGATCTAAGGGACAAGTATCGGATTTTGAACTTGATAATTGTAAATAGCATGACACCCCAATCCCAGAAAAACTAGATATACATTGAGAGAGGCTACTTCCTATCTGCTTTTGGGATTGTACATACTATTGATTTGGCCAACTTGATCATGGACCAAATGATGTTGACCGTAAAAGTAAAGAAGACCTCTCTTCCATTTGCTATGTTAGTATCTGAGTTATGCAGGAGTAAGGGAGTGATCACGGATCCCTCATGGCCAACGGTGGAGCATTTTGCACCCTTGGACAAGATGTCATTGAGAAAGAGCCATGGAGGGTAACCCGAAGAGCAACCTGATGTACCATCTGCACTGCTTGCAAACCCATTTCCAGGAGGTTCAAATTTTCACCCACTAGAGGAGCCGCAACCACAAGAGGAGAAGCCATATATTCTGGTTGATGACAGGTCCAACCAACATATATTGCTAGGGTTAGGGACCAGTATTACCTAGCTCAGGACCAACATCACCCAGCTCGATCAACGCATGGCTGACTATGAGCAGAATTAGATTGAGATTTTGAGGCTACTCAGAGGAAATTATGGTGGAGGCCCATCTACTTCATGATCAAAGACTTCAAAGATTCCTGAACAATTTTTAAATTATACATTTCGTTTCAGTTTTATGTTTTGAATGTTGTTTAGAATTTGGTTTTTAAGTTAATCTAGTTGGTTTATTTTTTTTTTGTTAATTTTTTGTTAATTTAGGATGCGTATTTCATGTGATTCATGTTACAATTAGGCCATTATTCTTATGTTTTGCAGGGATACCCTTAACCCGATTGCGCAGGATTTCCATATATTAATTGTGCACTATCTTAATATTTTCATAGAAACTCATTCTTTTGAATACGTAAATTTCCTTATTTTGAAAACTTTCTAAAATATTACGCTCCTTTATTAAGCTTACATATATAGTGGATATGTAAACCTATTACATATTTTGAGCCAATCCACCTTGGAGAGATATTTCACATTTACTCAAGTAAGAATTTTTGATTCAGCGATAAATTTCTTGAGTAATCTCATTAGTTTTGTTTTGATTTGCACTTATTGAATAACATGGTTAGCATCTCCTTAAGCTTTTAATTCGGAATTATGTAGGTGTACGATTTTTGGAAAATGATGTTAGGCCATTTTTGCTTTAATTTTGAGTCTTAGCCATTTCTTTTTGAAAATTATATCCCTAGTTTGCCACGTTTGAGCCTAAAAGTATAATTTATTTTTCATGAAACCCATATGATAACTGAACCACATAAAATATATTTGACTAATGCTTGATCACATTCAGCCTAATCTCCAAGCACGAATCTGGACTAAGTGTACATGGCTTATAGAAATTGGTGAGTGTCACTCTCGCTTAGGTTCCATGCAAGAAATGGAGAAAATTGAATGTGGATGAACAACAATGTGTGTGTGCAAAAGTGCTCCCCAAGCATAAAGAGATTTGAAATTGTCATGCTTTACTTGGAATGGGTATTCCAAGGTCGTCTCCTTAGGGAAGGAAGGTCAAATTGTGGTGAATGGCAAATTTTGGAAAGAAATGAAAAGTGTAAAATCTTGTAGTTTTGTGTTTTGTTGAATGGATTTTTTTCATAAAAATTAATGAAAACATGGTTGGCTAATCTGAAGAGGTCATTCTAATAGGAATGTCAAATCAACTCAAAACATTCTATTAATGGTGCCTCAGTGCTTGATTGATTTGTTGGAAGTGAAGGACTAATGTGGAGGTGTAGCCTCAAGCATATCCCATGACAAGTCTATGGTGTATAAAGAGCTAACAACCACATCCGTACTCAGCCTAGTCAAACTAAGCAATTTACACTACGAGGAAGAATGGAGAAGAGTTGATTTAGCATACCCAAGAGAAAATCTTCATTGGATTAGCCAACTAAAAACTTAGTTGTCCATAGTCAAAGCATTAATATGCATAATGCAAAGAGACATAATGAAGAAATGAGAAATGGAACTTCTATTAATTCAAGAAAAGAGATATACTACAAGATAAATGGCATTCATAGTCAAAATACAAAGATTGGAAACAAATACCCAAATGTAGAACTTGAAATGCTAGTAATACTTAGCTAAGCTTGCATACAACTTGAGTGAAAGATTTTAAAGTGAAAAGGGGAAATATTACAAGTAATTTAAAGCTTACAACACTGAAAATGGTGAAGAAATAATGAAAACCCAACTTTCTCTCTCTAACTTTAGGCTACGATAGAGACCGTAAGGAGAAATAAGGACCAGGCTCTCAATGGGCTTAGGATTCCTATGTTCAACACAGAACAAACATCATACAGTCCATTAATAATAAGTCAGTCTGCTAAAGAATTATTATTGATCTACTAGGCCTTATCTCAAAATTATATTCGAACTCCTTATTATTATATGCTTAATAATCTCCCCACGTTTAAGATTACAGATGTTCATCAATTAAATAAATCACTAAAAATTATATTTAATTGACTTCTTTTATTCCTTGAGACCTTACCACTCAACTTATTTATCATGTTGGATAATAAATCTACCTGCAGGGTTTGATACGGACAAAACTTATGAGCTTCCTTAAGAGGACATCATCAATCCATTTAATTTTCACTATACAAATAACATCATCTCCCAATTCATCGAGCTTATTGGGCCAATATGAATCTCACTATTTGATGAATTAAAGTGACAAACAATATATGCACCTGGTAATTAAATATTTAGGGATTAAGAGCAAAAGCAATCATAATAATCATGAGGTATTTATTATCTTATTAAATCAGTAAAAGATAATAACCTCAATATGGATCTGTTTAATACACAAAGTGTACTANACTCAATATGAATCTCACTCTTTAGTGAATTAAAGTGATAAACATTTTATGTATGCAGCAGTTAAATATTTTAGAATTAAGAACATAAACAATTATAATAATCATGAGATATTTATTATCTTATTGAATCAATAAAAGATAATAACTTCAACATAGGTATGTTCCATACACAAAATATACTAGTACAATAATCCGAGACATCCAACAATCAAAACAAACTATGCCAAAATATTACACTACAATCATACTGACCAGTTCCATCTAGGATTATGACCTTATACTCATATTATACAAGGATCCGATAATCTAGTCTTCTATGCATAAGCTGAACTCTACACACCAGATTATCTACAATGTAAAATATAAGACACATATGTTTACCATATATTAAATATAACGCAAACATTTTGCCAGTATAGATTCTCAATAAAATGGAAAAAATAAATTTTTATTAATTAATAAAACAAATTTCACTACAAAAACAAGCTTTTAGTATACTACTCTATCAGATATATCTATTTCACACAATAAAAAAAATCCAAGAAGTGTGACGGCACGCACAAACCAGCTTTTTTGGATACTCTGGGACATCAAAATTGACCCTTTCTCCCATACTACTTGGCCAGCAGCAAACTAGTTAATAACCAACAACAACCATGCCCACATAGAGGGAAAAACATGGGTGAACAATAACGTATTATACAATTGAGGGGTTTTCTTCAATTTTTATTTTTTCATTTTTTTCCTAATATTCCAAAACATAATAGCATAAAAATCATGTTATTAGTAGCTCAAAGTTATCAAACACAAAGCATGCCAGTATTCTAGCAGAGGTTTGTGCCACTACAGATATACCTTTGCCTTGCATTAATTTTTTGGAAGGTTATAACTTCTCAAATGCCTATATGCTTCACTATAAAGCTCCAGTCCAAAACAAATCAATGAGTTGCCAAACCAGAAAGGAAAAAAAATAAGAGATCCATTCTGCGTCAAAAGTTACCTTATGGTCTGCTTTCACCTAATACCAGCATACGTGCTTTATTATATATGTTAGTGGGAGCTAAATACACGAATCGGTAATTCACAATAAATCTTTGATTCTACTCACAGGAATGGAAAATCATTCAGACACAAAGGGCCCAAACTTAAAATTTATCCAAGTAGTGAAAAGGAACATTTGAACTTACAATGGGAACTGCCTCGTGATGCCTCTCCCAAGGTTCTTGGTTCACCTCTGGTCACATTAAACTATTTAAATCAATGGCTGAAATCATTTAAAAGAAGTACTACTCATTTAAACATAAATAAAAGGGAAGTAATCCAGAAGCAAAACACTACCTTAATCTCCTACATAATAAGACGTTTTAATGAAAAAAATCCAGCATGTCAACTACTTCTTAGAAGGAAAAGCATATCACGACTTGAAAACTAGAATTAAACAAAATACAAGAATGATTGCAGATTAATATCAATTAGTGTGATTTCAATCACAAACAACAAACCAAATCAAAATTACACGGGTAGACAACAAAATAGCAAAATATTGTAAACTATATGAACTTATCCAAAAAAGAAAACTAAGTTAATTTAAATAAAAATTAAGCTAAGCTGCTGGCAAAAAACAGAGACATGCACCGTGCAACATATTTTACATTTACCAAATCTTAGTCATATTGATTGAGCATATCGACAGACATGAACAAGAATTTGTAAGAATGTGAGCTGCCACAACCCTACTTCACCAACTTACATAGTAACTCTCTAAACACAAAATTGCAAGGTGGAACTAAGAAAAGAGACAACACATAACAGAACAATCCAAACTGTATAAAATAAGTGAGTCAAAATGCAAAACGTCAGAACACTGTAATTAAGCTCTTGAACGAGATCTAGCAGTGTTAGACGACATTTTCTCAGAAAGTTCAAACAAAATCACTTGTATAGTTCATGTGTTTAAGTAAAGTTTTAATTAGATGATCTTCCAGATTCAAGGTAACTACAAAACGCTCATGGCCAAGAACACATATCACCGGGATTCCTACCCATGTGTCATTGAAATAAAGAGCAACATATCACATTCAATTCATGGATCATGAGCTTCTCACTGTGAAAGGTTTGCCTAATCCACTCTTTCCACAACCAATATCCAAGAGCAAAATGTTCCAAATCAGCCTAACTCTCCTACTACATACCCTGCATCTAAGCAGTATGTATTCAACACCTGAAGCACTATCATTGCATGACTTGAAACCAGGAAGAGCCAAAAAAAGAATAATGACAATAAGTCTGTGGGCTATACTATACACAATGCACTAAAAGTTGATTTTTTTTTTTTAATTTTTTTTTGGGGGGGAGCAAGAGCGGGAGGGAGAGGGAGAAGAGAGAAGGGGGCTTAAACCCTTAACCTCAATAAGGCAAAACCTTCATAAGTTAAAGATTAAGGCAAAACCTTCATAAGGTAAAGATTAAGGCAAAACCTTCATAAGGTAAAAAGTACCATTGGACCAAAGGCCCATTGGTGCACTAAAAGTTGATTAACCCCTAATTTTTACACCCAATGCCCAAGCCCCAGAAACACGATGGTGAAAAATGTCCACCCAATTTTAATTAAAAAATTAATTTCTTTAACTACATAATTGAAACATTATGCTTGTAAAGGCACATGAAATAAAGCAAAATAACATCTTTGCACAACCACCCAATGAAAACCCCTAATTTTCTCACCAATACCCAAAGCCATCCCATTAAAAATGTTCACCCATTTTTAAATAAGAAACTAATCAAATCTCTTCAATTAACAACCTAATTGTAACATTATGCCAGAAAACTTGCATTAAGTAGAGCAAAACAACATCTTTTGAGCTTCGTACAACCCAATTCCTCAATTCAAAACAGAACCCTAAAAATCCCAATTTCCACTAACAATCCCTAAAATTCAACCTAATCGAAGTAAACTTACTAATTCACATAAACAAAAACATAGACAAAAAAAAACGCAGTGCAATAACATTTAATCACACGGAATAACACAAAAAAACGCAACACACGCTCATATCCAACCAAATTTCCTTCCCATAACACGTACACACATATTCATGCACAGAGAGACAGTTAAAAGGAGAAGGAACAGAGGACCTGGTGGTTGTGGTGGTGGTGGTGGCGGAGGAGGGAGGCGTTTGCAGAGAACGGTGGAGAAGAAGTAGTGCGCTGTGGAGGAGATGAGTTTGGAAGCCGGGTCCACCACGAGCTTCGACAGCCAACCGTCGCTCTTTCTGCCAGGGTTTCTGAGAGCCGTAGGTGGCCGATCGTATGGCGTCGTCTGGGGTCTTCTCAAAGGTCTTTTACGGAATTTCCCACCTGCTCCCCCGGTTTCGTACGAGGAGGCCGCTCCGTCACCCGCCGTCGCCATTGGGAGCTTGTTAAAACTTTTGAAGAGAGAGAAAGAGTAATTAGGGTTTTATTCAAAAGGAGGAAAGAGATAACGAAATTAAAAAAAAAAGTTTGGGAACGTGGGGGGTGTGCCTGTGTATGTGAAAACTGAAAAGGGGTATCTGAAATTTCTAGTTAATTTTAAGGCAAACTATGATAAAAACTGACAGGGAAATGAAGACCGTTAATGGAATCCGGAGCCTCCAAATTTGAAAGGCGGGAGTTCGGTTCGGCCACAGAATCAATTCAAGTCAAAAATTAAGGTCAGAGTACTGTACCTAAAAAAAATTATATGGCAAGAAAATAAGTTCCAACTCATAAATGAGAAATTATAAACGATTAAAGTAATTTATTATTAATTATTAAATATTTTGATCAAGTTTTAAACTGTGTGGATTTTGTCCGTGTTATTTGTGCATGTTCTAATCAAAAAAACTAAATTTTTTCACATTGGTTGCTCCTCACCAATGGTTTGAGTTTAAGTTGCCTACTGCCAGTTCCTCTTTCTAAGAGGAATTGATTTGTGGTTCCCTCTCAGCCAAGTGTGTTGAGCTTTAAACTATATGAATTTTGTGTGTTATTTGTGCATGTTCTGATAAAAAAAATTAAGTTTTCCCACATCGGTTGGTCCTCACCAATGGTTTGAGTTTAAATGGCCTACTGCCAATTCCTCTTTCTAAAAAGAATTAGTTTGTGAGTCCCTCTGTCAAGTGTGTTGAGCTTTAAACCATGTGGATTTTGTGTGCGTTTTTTGTGCATGTTCTGATAAAATATATATATATATATATATATTTGATTGATCATGAATTATCTTAATCAATAGTAATTGATGGTACTCTAAATCAACTAACCCAATTAAAAAATCACTTGGGGCGTAACCCAGAGGAATCAAATATGAGCCTGTGTGACAGAAAGCGTGCTCAGTGTTAAAGATGAAACAAAGACAGAAATATGAGTGGTTCATCTCAACCGAAGGACTAAGGTTATATCTACCGTAAATGAGACTCTTGCTTTTTGGGGACTATATTTCTTGGGGAATAAGGTTGTTCTTACAATAGATTTGGCTAGAAGCCTTTTACAGAGTGTTTCTTAGATTACTGCTGAGTGATCTCTTTTTCATAAATATCTATATAGTGGTATCGTTTTCTATTTATACATTCCATCATTAGGGTTTTGTAGTGGTTCATGACTGATTTTGTGGTCCCCTCCTTGTTTGTCCATTTGTTGATCCTGTCATCCCTGACGTTTTCTTACGCCCACTATACCTTGAATGGAATACGTGAGTCGTCTTCACTATTGATGAATATTTGTTCGTTAAGATTGTCAGGTATTATCCACTTGTCTCATGTCCACATGTCATGGCACGACCATCAGTGAATTGCCCAGTACCGAGCTCCCAATTCTCGAGCGGATATTAGTACCGAGCTTGCTTATGCCGATTTAACATCTATTCGGGGCTGAATTATTCTGGGTTTCCATGAAGCTGGCCCGGGTCCAGTTGATGAGGTGCTTAGGTCGTCTTAGGTGAGCCCGAAAAGGTTTTGGGCCTGGAAAGGAGGCTTAGACTTAAATCTATCATCAGTTACCCTTCAGCCCCATGTCATGAGGATGACCTTCCAAATCTATCTTAGGGTTAGGATCATCTTTTCCATTGGAATGATTACTTTTGTGGATGATGGTTTCTTATGATTACAGGCGTTGTCCTAGTGGCATATTTAGTTTTCTCATATTTGCTCTAATGGGATAGACATGCTAGGAAAGGACATGCATTGCTTAGAGAGGGCTCTTCATGTACGGCCCCTCCTGCACATTTTTTTCCCACGTCTCATTGTGGTAATAAATGCTATAAAAAGGGGCAATCACCTTAGCTTTTTTACTTATGTTTCGAATTTCAGCCATTTGTGCTTATTTCCTTTCCTTTTGGACTCTAAGGTGGCCGTTTTATGTTCCCGGTGGTTCTAAGAGTTCTGAGTTTTCATTCCTCTGCGAATCAACCTTAGTTCCTCATTAGGTACGTCCTCACCTTTTTTTCCGTTTTGGATCCCTTTAACCCCCACCGGTGGGGTCACAGGTTCCATTTCATTATTTTGAGATTTAGCTATCGGAATCACTCTAACAGTTTTGCTCTTTTTTTTCGCGATTGGTAGATTATTTTCTCCTGTTAAGGTTATCCTTGGTCAGATCCTGGTGTTTAGTCCCTTTATTTCTAATGAATTGTGCTTTGCATCTACCTCCTTTGTATTTTGGGTTACAATTTGAGCACCCAATGGGGAGAGTGGTTCTCGCTACACCTTCTAACTTTGTGTTTGGGGATGGGAGCGATGAGAATGTTGAGGAGGTTTCAGCTTCCCATTCCAGTGATCGTGTTGAGGAGGAGGCTTCCTCTCCCTCTAGTAATGAGGAGCTTTCTGCTAACGATAATTTCCTTGCTGAGGTGACCAATTTTCATTAGCTTTAGTGGAAAAGTTCAAGTTTTGTCCCAAGGCATCAAGCCTAGGGGGTCTGGGACCGATTCCCAAGGCTTCGGCTTTACGTCATTCTGTCGAGCCTCCCTTGGCATTGATCCCCTATTTCATTGAGCTATACCAATAAAATAGGATCTAAAGCCACTCCATCTTCTTCTGCCCCTAAAAAGAAAAAGGTTCGACTAGACTTGTCTGATCTTACTTATTATGCCACATCGACAATGATGACTTGAAGGCCCTAAGGAAAGAGTACTTTTTTTCGGCTTCTGTTCTACTCCACTCTCCTAAGGAAAACGAGAGATGTAATTCCCTTATTCCTAGGATAACCTGTTTCTTCACTTCAACATTCTGCGCTAATCCTAGGTTCTCTGTTCATCCCTCCATTTGAGATATCCTTATCTTCTACAATATGTGCCCAACTTGGGTTTTCCCCGAATGATTGGGGTTTATTGATGGGCTTCAATGTTCACTAATGCGAGAGCAGGAACATATCTCCACCTACTATGTGAGTTCACCCACCTTTTTCAGCTTAAATCTTCTCCAGCGTTAGGCTTTTTTTATTTTTGCCAAGCAGGTGAAGGCAAAGAGTTTGATTTCTGGGCTTCCGTCTTCTAATAAAGGGTGGAAGCCAAAGTTTTTCTTCATTTGGGGTGATTCCTGAGAGTTGTCTAGTGTGCTTAGCGATATTTCCTGTATTCCTTGGTTCTGGGGAATCTTGAGTAACACATGTAAGAGTGATAGTTAAATACTTGCCCACAAATTACAAAATTTTTGTGGTTCTAAGCTTGACTTTTGGTTTGTGTATAAGGTCTTATTCTTCCCTTGACGCTTCTAAGGCTGGGAGGGTGGCTTTAGCTGAAGCCTACAAACTTTTTTTTTCTACTTTGGTGACCAGGGAGAAACTTGTGGGGTACGGGCTCGATCATCCTATGAAGACATTGCCTACCCAGACCACTGAACCATGGCCTATGGAATCTCCCAACTAGATGGCTCTTGACCTCGTTATGGCAACATTTACTGATGAAAGAAAGAGAAAGAGGAGAAAGCTAGTGAAAACTTCCGAGCTCCCTTCTCCAAAAAAGGTGGCGTCGGCGGGCACCACCTTGAAGTAAAAACACAAGGACATGATCTCTCATGAAACCAGCCTTCCTTCTTCCTTATCCCCTAAGCTGCCATCTAAAGATGGACAACTGGTGGAAGGAGGCGAGCTCATTGAGTCACCATCCAAGAGTGAGCCCTAGGCTGAAGGGGTTGACAACTCCAACTCCTCACCTGCTGAACTTCTCTAAGGGAGAAGAGGTCGGGCAGGATCTTCCCAAGGTGAGTGAGGAAGGCAGTGGGTTCCTGTATGATCCTACTGCTGTTGTGGACGCATTGGCTGAGTTGTTCCCACCTCAGATCTCGAGGAGGCTATGAAGGTCAACTTCAGAAGAAAGACCAAGCATGTCATCCAAAACATGGTTGAGGTATTACACTCTTCTACCGCCCCCTCTTTAAAATATTGTCTCTGGATTCTCCCCATTTCTCTTTTACAATAGGCTTTGACATTTATCAAGATGATGGAGTTTTACCAAGGGCATGTTTTGAGTAAATTAGTTGGCTAGTCTTTCGAGCAAGCTCCCCTACGGTCTGAACTTAAGAAGATCAAACTCGTCGAATGATAGCTATGAGATGAATTGGCTATAAAGAAGTGCAAGTTATGTGGCATATTGGACGTTGTTCATGCTGACAAGGAGGGGAGAGCCTTAGCTAAGGGGAATAATATTGTTTTAACTACTGAGTTGGCAGAGATAAAAAGAGCTTACTCCAATCTGGACCCACTTTTTCAGGATTCCTTCAAAGGAAAAGATGCCGAGTTAAGGGCGAAGGATGAGGAGCTGAAGGTGAAAGTGGTAGAGCTAAAGTCCCAAGATGAGAAGATCATTGGGCTCCTCAAGGCAAACGTTTCTGCTTTTGTGCAAGGGTTCATGAATTTTTAGGATCAGGTTGAGAGGAAATATCCCAACCTTGACTTGGACTCTTTCGTGCTGTCGGCGAAGCTACTGCTGAGCATACCTAAAAGGCAGAGGAACCCGCTGCATAATTTCTATCTTTGAATTGTTGGACATTGTAGTGAACTATATTTTGTTCTTTATATCAAGCTTGTGTATCCAAAAACTTTGTTCCTACTTTTGAAAGCTCACTGTGTACCATCCTTTTTTCCTTGGACGGATTTTCCATGCTTCTTCGTTTATCTTCTCTGTTCTTCCTTTTTTCTTATTTATTCCTCTTGGCTCTTAACCTTGAAGGGTTATGTGGGGTGACTTCGCTCTCTTGAGTTGTATTCACTTTTGTTCGTTGTAAGGGCGACATCTTGAGCTGGTAGCTATGCTCATAGCTGGGTTGCCTTGCATAAGTCTTGAGTTAGGAAATCACAACCGATCTATTCTGGATCACCAAGGTTATTTTAGACCTTTTTCTCCATCTTTTTGTGAATCCCAAGTTTGACGATTTTTTCTAGTTAAGGCCATGTACC